TATATATATATATAGAGCTAGCTTGAATTTAAAATTTTAAATTTAAATGGTTTACTTCAATGCACATTTTTAAAAGTTGCAAATGCATATTTAATTGTTAGTGTTTTTAAAAATGTTTAAGTTTTGGTGAGTGTACTGTTAAATTTAATTGCAGTTACAAATAAAAATTGCGTCAATTTCCTAAATTAATTAATTTACATATACAAATAATCACAAAGCCAAAAATTGTAAATTCTAAATGTGATATGAATAGATAATTGACATTGAGAAAAAATGTGTAAATGGGGGGGGGGGATTAATTGCCATACATATGTTATTTGAAAGTTGGAAGTATCAGTGTATTTTTATATAATTCTTATTCTGTAATTTCTGTCATGTGTTACTATTTTATCCCAGGTTGATGTATACAGAGCACTGTTGTTCATTACTGTGTCTAGATTTATTTTTGTGAATAATTTTGCTTGTTGGCTGTAGGAAGTGGAGCAAAATAAATAAATTTCTATGTGTAAATTGTTGAGAATGTAAACAATGATAAAAATCATTATGTTATTATTTATTTTAAAGGACATCTATTTATTTTTGACAAAATAATATATAGGATAAATTTTGCTCCATTATCCAGTGTTTCTCAACAATGCTTTATTTGTTTCTAACCACTTTCTTCTCTCCTAAATTATTTTGTCTTCACATGCAATTCGCTCATAAAAAAAGGACTTGTAGTCACCTACAGTAAGTTCCCATGTTTGCAGTTCTTTGTTTTGACCCAAGCATTTCAAGCCGCAGTTGAAATATTATAATAGTATTACTAGTATTAGTTAACAAAGTATTCCATCTAGAACATTTAGTAGAAGATTTTTTATTGAAATGTATTTTGTACTTATTTGTTGTTTCTTATTTTATGGTAGTGCGAGAAATGATATTGAGTTTGCAAAGCAATATTTTAATTCTACATTTTTGTGTTCAAAATTTTCCTTGTATCTTAGCTCATTGTGAAATATTAATTTTGATCTATTGTAATTCATTCTGGTTTTAATATGGATACTTTTTGGAAATTTTTGACTGATGTTTGAAAATAAGTAAATCTTAAAAATGTAGTGGTATTGAAAAAATACATACATACATATATATATATATATATATATATATATATATATATATATATATATATATATATATATATATATATATATATATATGTGTGTCACCATTTTTTGCATAAAAGAATGTAGTTAAGTTTTTGCATGTCAGTTTCAACTCAACTGTACCGAAGACTTCTGCAAAGACTTCAAATAAATTAGTTTAGTTATTTATATAGATTAGTATTTTATGTAATGCATTTGTAAATATGCATGCATCTGTTTCTTCATTTGCATTTAATTCTTTATCTTTCTATGTAGAATGCTGCCAATTTGTAAAATATCTTTTTGTTTTCTTTACATTTTTCTACTTTGTGTCTCAATATGTTGGTTTATTTTTTATTTCTGAAAAAAATTTTGGCATGTTAGAATGTCTTTGGTCTTGTACCTTATTTTTTTATGACCTCTAATTTATGAAGAATATGTAATTTAAGAGCTGTAGTTGTTGAGCCCAGGAGCCCACAGTTTGTGTTACTGTAATACGATAAAATTTATGCAATTACTCATATTTGATGTTCATGGCCATTAATGGATATAAACTGCTATGATTTCAGACGTAATGCATGTTATGATTTATGTACTTTTTAAGTCATAACGTATCTTTTGATGTCCGCTTGGATTTCTCATATTTTCATGTGTTTTTAATATAAATGTTTCTATTTCATATATTTACAATATATATGTAAGTATATAAATAATTTGTGCTTAAACTTTGAATCTGGTGCTTAATGTCAATACAGATATTTGATTGTAATTCAGAAATTGGAAGATATTGTGTTTTTACTGCTTTTTGGTTGATTTGCTATATATTATCCATTGTATATACAATATTTTTTTCCAATTATGTAGAATATTACATCTTTATAGAGATATTAAGAAGTTAAATAAATATCACACTTTTGCACCGTATGACATGAAAGTATTTGACAAGGAACTTTATCTAAAAAAAACAGCATTTGGACAGAAGTCTTGATCTCTTGATATTACAATATAATAGTTGAGATTTATAGAATTTTTCAAAACAAATTGTAGGGTGACTTTTGTTACTTTTATTTGACTTGTTTCCCATGACTCTTTGTCATGATAATTTAAACTGATAAATTGACTTATAATTCTAAACTTTAGTGTTTGTTCTACAAGGTTATAGTTTTAATAGAAATTATTGTAATGGCGCTTATGGTTTATTAACAAAACAGTAAAAACCTTAAGGCCGTATATTAATATACACTAAAAGAACTTCATTGCTTTTTAAAGTTTGCTTTATTTTTGAAATTCATATTTTTAAATGCTTTATGAATGTGCAAACTTTTCAGAGTGTTTGTCAGCATACTTGTTATTTTTTTCGTTACTGTATGTTTTCACAAAATGTTAATAAGAATGGTATAGATAAAGCATGTATCAGAATAATATATTCATTGACTATTCTAATTATCTCTTTTTTCATAATTAATATAATATATCCATTATATGCAAGTGCTGTTCAATATTATTATTTGAAGCTAAAGGTAACTTGTTGAAATTTTTTTATATTCAATCATTTGGAATCAGTATACAATTTAATTTCGTTTAAGTAAACCTGCTTATGTATGTTTTTATTTTATTTATTACCGTCGAGAATCTTACATCTTATGCCCCACTAATAATTTTGCAAAATATGAAAATAATAATGATTAGAAATAAATATTAGTGTAATAATAATTATGCTGAAATCACTTTTCACAATAGATATTGATGTCTTCATATTTGGTATAAATGATTTCCCAGGTTTCTCTTGATTTGTGCTGCATTGATTATTGATAATCCTTCATAATTTACTTTTAGTTATTCCCACATGCATTTTGTTTATGTTTATTTCTGCCCTGATATTCTTTTTCTAAGAGACTTGTGATGTATTGTAATATAATAATTATGTATAAAATGTTCAAGATTCATGATCAGTTCAATTATCACCTGGAAATTTAAAAACATGCTGTATATTTGGTATTCATTAGAAGTTGTATCTTGTCCTGTAGATGTTATTAGTAAAGAATAAGCCCCAATATTACCAGTCTAATTGAAGATAAATGAAGAAATAGCATAAAGCTGATGATTTTAACTGAAAGTTTTCTGAAGAACAAATCTTTAATGAATTTATTGTGTTTTAAAGTAGCAAACTCTTTGTATTACACCCTTCACCTGTACATTTTCCACTTTATAGATATTTACATTTTATCTGTAATAAATAATTTGTTACTTAGTAATTTTCTTCTAGTTTGTGCACATTATTGTAAGCAAATCTTGCACATTATCATAAGCAAATCTTTTCGGAAAACAGTGTATCAAATGATAATTTGATACACATAGTTTGTTGATTACTATTTAATCAAATATTTTGATGTTTATAAACTTTTGTTAATTCAATGTTTGAAAACTTTCTTATTCTTTAAAAAAAATCTTTATTTTGATAAATATTCACTTCATTGTTTGTTTATCTTGTATTCTTGACAGATTAAGAATGTCTTAAAAACACTGTTTTACAAATATTCATATTATAGATAGTGGGCTCCTGATTGTTGCTATTTGTATAATTAACCTATCAGAATACAATGGATAATGGTTAATCTGAACAATTTTATATTTTAATGAAGTTTTCTCTTGTAGGCAAAATGCAATGTCTACTGTTACAGAGTAGTAGATTACAACATTCTGAGAAAATTAAAGTGTTTTAAAAGATGTTTCTGTTTTTCAATCATAAGTTACAATTCATGAATTGAAAAAATAGTTTCAGGCATTTGTATGTTTTACTTTCTGAGTGCTTTGGTAGTGGTGGATGTCCTTGGCTGTTTTGATTTATTTTAGATCTTGTTCTTTCTATTAATAATGCAATTACCGTTACTGTGAACATGAACTTTGCATGTGTAGCAATATTTTTATTGCATGTTTCTGTTGCTTTTGGCTGTGTGAAAAGCATGGAATTTGTTGGGTTTCATGTTTCATTTCCTTCATAATTCCTTTTTCTTGAAAAGTAGTCAAATATCTAGCCATGCGGATTAGATTGCTAGTTGTGAAATCGTTGGGTTGATATACAAATTTAATTATTATATCTTTATCTAGAAATCAATTTGTTTATTTCATAACAATTTGAATACATTTTATTGGCAATTATATGCTTCTAAAGATGAATAGATACTTCCAGTTCTGATGTGCCTTAAAAGGCCTACTTAGAGGAAGGAAATGATGATACTTGTTTTGTTTTCTTTATCACTTCAGAGGTGTTATATTTAACAAATTTCAAGGGGAGGATTTCTTTGTTTTGTAGTTGATAATAGCATTTCTGGTGTCACAGAAGCGTTATGGTTAAATAAGTATTACTATTTGCTTTTTGTTATTATTCACACACTTTTCCTTGCAATGTTCATTTCGTCTTTTATTTTAGTGCATATTAAATGGCTTCTAGGCATTTTGTTTTCCTCCCTGCAATTTTTGTATCGTCTTTGTTTTCATTTGTCCCCAGTGCACTGCAGCTTGGATAACCCTCCTATTGTTACCACCCACACAAATGGAAGTAAGTACGGCTGGCAAATGCTTAGCAAACTGTCATTTTCATAAGGTTATAAGATTCAAATTAAGTCATGTATTCTTACCTTTCCATGGGTTATTCAGTTACATACCTCTTCTCTGTCTTCTCTGGTTATGGGTTAAAATTTTAACTTGTATTTTGCTTCTAGTATTGTAGGACAGGTTTATAAATGAAGTGATAAGGAATATGGTATGGAAGATGATCAACTAGACATTTAATAGCATTAAACTATAATTAAAGTCTAGTTGAATTTGTTTAGGTGATATAACTAGTGCATTAAACTGAAAGATAAGTTGATGCTGGATTTTCACTTTCATCTTTTCACTGTAATGAAAGTTACAATATAGTAAAAAGTATACAATATAAGGTGCTGAAAACAAAAATTTGAACACACTTCAGAAGTTAATTCAAGATGTCTGTCCTTATGCTGTTAGTATTTTCATTCTTACTGACAGCAAGTAGTTATGTTCTACTAAGAAAATATAATACTTTCTGTACATAGTGGGGTGCTTTTGTCTAGTTATGCTTATGCAAAAGAGAAGAATATATCATCTCAATTGCTGCATTGTGTCTTTTGTTCTTAATACTTAAATAAGTGCTTGTGTTGATGTGAATGAACGTACCTGCAAATAATAATGTATTCTTAAAATGCATGTTTATTTTTATCTTTTGGTTTTTGTTTTGTGTTTGTAAAATTGCCTGAAGGTAAATAACCATATAATTATAATTAATTTTTTATATGGGCTCTCATTTTATTGATCTTTGGACTATTGTATCATTATGTTGTATCAGTGTTAATGATTTGAAGCACTTGGGGTATCAAAGTGGTGCAAAGGGTCTTGTGGCTCAACTACTTGCTCCTTGTTGGGTTCTTTAATAATTATGACAGTATTCTAATTTCTGTTATGTTCTTGTTTCTTTAAGTAACATAATATTCAATCTTTGTATTTTTTGTATGAATGTAGTTCATCATCATGAAGTGAAGTTGTGCACTTGTTTAATTTTTTAAGAGTTCTGTAGTTTTTTAAGCTAAGGTGTATATCAGATTTGATATTGTACTGTGTGTATTTGCTATCTTATGTTAATATGATATTTAATTGTGTTTCTCCTAGTGACTACACCATTGTTTACTGCTGTGGGAGCTGCATCTCGAACATATATAGATCCTCATACTTATGAGGATCCCAATCAAGCAGTTAGGGAATTTGCTCGTGAAATAGATGCCTCTTGTATAACAATAGAGGCAATTATTGGTTAGTAGTGGTAGTAATAGTAGAATCATTCATATACTCAGTATATTTAATTATGTTATAGAGATTCTTACACATTTGCTTTCAAACATTTTTTCAGGGGGCGGTGAATTTGGTGATGTGTGTCGAGGTAAACTAAAGTTGTCTCCTGATGGGCGTCAGGAAATAGATGTGGCTATAAAAACTTTGAAGCCTGGAAGTTCTGATAAAGCTCGTAATGACTTTCTTACGGAAGCAAGTATTATGGGTCAGTTTGAACATCCTAATGTGATATTTCTTCAAGGTGTTGTAACAAAGTCAAATCCAGTCATGATAATCACAGAGTATATGGAAAATGGGTCTCTTGATACGTTCCTCAGGGTAAGTTAAATTATCATTTTTAAATTAAAGCATTTTATTTACTTTTATGAAAACATTATTTAGTTGCTTCTTTGTTATTTGAAATAAAAGGCCAATGCTGAATAATATTTGTTGAAACATTTGTCAGACTATTTCAAAACCATTTATTACAACAAGACAATATAAGGAAATTATACTGCAAATGTTTATTGGACTACTTGGCTCCTAGACCAATCATTTTAAAGGTAAATAAAGAATGACTTACAGTCATAATAAAAGCTGCTAGTGAAGTACTTGGTAAAAGGTACAGGGGCACAAGGAAGAAAAGATTAAACTTTGGAATGATGAAATAAAAAACACTAAGACAGAAAGAAATATTATTTATGTTACAATTACAATTTGACTTAGGCAAAACAGCTTACAAGCAAAAATGCGCTACAGTAAAAAGGGAAGTGAGAAAATTAAATAGGGAAAGTTTGGACATATCTATTAATAGAATAGAATATAATGTGCATGGTGTCCAAAAGAGCATTTACAATTTTAAAACTTTTAAATGTTGAAGAAAAAGACACTTTGCTCACAAATAACATTTCAGAGAAAGAGTTGCTGCAGTATTATAAATAATTATGGTCATCAAATACAGAAGAAGAAGAGAAAAGCAGCCTAGGAGAGATTGATTATGTAGACCCAATTGATTTCAGTCAACTGGCTGAAATAATCCACATACACTTAACCCATTAATACCCACTGTCCTCAGTTGAGGACTCACATTTCTAGTCTACTCAAATTTGCTTCTTTTACAGTAATTTGTGAATTTTATTTCTTCAATTGATGTTCATCCTAAACAAAACATATAAGCAAGGTTTTTCACTTCTGATTGCCAAATGTTGATTTAGGTGTTGATTCATGGCTGCATCAGTTTGAATCTTCATCTTAAACGGTGCTTAGCTGCTATATGCTTGTGGTTTAGTTGAAGGGAGAGGCCAGTGTAAAGCAAATGGTGGTTGATCTGCACCAAAGTTAACAGCTGCATTTGCACTAAGTTCTAAGAGTTTTGCTTCTTCTTATAGAAAAAACTGCTCATATAACCAATGGTTTATGCTTTGAAGTTCTCTAGTAGCAATTTTTTAGCAACACAACAATTCGTTAGCACTAAAATTTGCAAAAACATGCTGCCACAGAACTCCAATAATGACTGTGACAATGACAGACTAAATATATAATTATTTTAATATGTGCCTCAAGAGATTAATATATGGTACCTGTCTATACTAAATGCAATTTGGAATCCCTATAAAGTCCTAGATGGATGGAAGAAGGCAACAATCCATCATATATTCAAGAGAGGAAATGTAAGTTACTGTAACAATTAGAGGAATTAGTCTCCTGAATACTGTATTCAAGTCCTATGCTAAAATCATCGCAAGAAGAGGACATAAAATAAATGACAGGCAACACAAGAAAGAAACACAAAATGGAATCCATAAAGGATGCTCATACTCAGATTGTACATATGCAGTACAATAACTAATTGAAAGAGACATGAATATTATCTACCTACCTTCATCTTTTTTAAAGACTTTGAAAAAGATTTTCAAAGTCTCGAGAAGAAAGTATGGCCTGTAATGTGATTAAACGTATACCCAAAACACATGAGAAGTATTATCCAAAGCATATATTCAGAAACTAAAATATGTACGGATGAGGAAACCTTGGAACACTTGATTAAAGTCCTAAATCAAGGTAAATCCCAGGGTAAAAATAATTTAAGATATTAAATAGAAATTAATGGTAAATGTATTGAACAAGTAAACAACTTCAACTACCTTGGTTGTAATATTTCATACTGTCATAAAAAAGAACATTAATATAAATATTCAGAAATGTCAGAAAATGTGAGGTACTATTTGAAAGACTCTTATTCAGAAAATGCATACAGACACCTAGCTGAAAGTTTATAAAAGAATGGCAGTATCAGTGATAATTTATGGATGTAAAAATTGGGGGCCTCAATAGAGCAGTTAAGAGGAAACTCGAAGCCATTGAATTAAGATATTTTAGACCATTAGCAGGCTCTTCAATACTAGACCATAAAAGAAACTGACACACAGGCATGAATTAAAGATCTTCAACTTAACCAAAAAAGTAGACATACTAAGATAAAATTGGCATGATCATTTAATGAGAATGCCAAAAATCCTCTACAACTACAACCTGACTGAGAAAAGGAGTAGAGGCAGACCAATGAAGCAATGGAATGACCCTCTTAAAGATAGGGCCATTAGATTCAGTCCATGACAACGATGATGATGATGATGATGATGATGATAATGAAATTTGTCAGGAAGGCATAGAGTACATTACCTTTTGTTTTTGTTAATTTCAAATTGATATTGTAAAGAAAAAAATACATGAACAAATTTGACTCGGTGAGAACTCAAATTTTAAATATTATATGAATTTGAATGCAGAGGTTAAATAATAGTAGTAAATTCACAGTTCTTCCTGCCAATGACCAATGAATCATTTCTAAATTCATTTGCAGTCTGATGAGGCTTCAGTTTACTCCATTGCAGTGTATATCCAAGTCTATTTCACTTTTTCTGGTTATCTTCTTCCCCTGTTCCATTGGATGCAATAATAAGAATAAAATGACAGCAATAGGACAAAAATATGATAATTTCTTTAATGTTATGATACACTTTTCTCATTTGTAATATTCATTGGGAGTTTTTTCTATATTTCCCTTCATATTTTATAGGCAAATGATGGAAAGTTCCAAGTGATACAGCTAGTTGGTATGCTGCGTGGTATTGCATCTGGGATGCAATATTTATCAGAAATGAACTATGTGCATAGAGATCTAGCTGCTCGTAATGTTCTGGTCAATGCACAACTTGTCTGCAAAATTGCAGATTTTGGTCTCAGTCGAGAAATAGAAAGTACGACAGAGGGTGCCTATACAACAAGGGTAAGAGTATTTTGTATAATGTACATGTTATTATCTTTGTTTAATTTCTTGTATAATAAGTACTTTTTTTGCAGCATCAGATGGATATCTGCTAGTTTAATGTTTCAAGAATTTAAATAATTGATTTTATTTATAAGTGCTGTATTTATTGTTTTTTCAACTGAATTGATTATTGATAATGAACAACAATGCTTCAAAACTCTCATAAACCATTGGTCTTGACATCTAGTTCCACACTCAGTGGAAACATCACAATTTAAGTAATACAATATATTTGTGTGTGTATAATATATATAGGTGGGGAAAAATACGATTTTTTAGAATAAAAATGAATTTTTGAAATTTAAATTTGATTTTTTAAAATAGAAATTGTATTATTTAAGTGCGTATTGTAGGGTTTTGTATATATTATTGTATTGAATTGATTATTTTGCAAATTTCAAGAAAAAGAAGAAAGGGATAAAAATTAAAAATAAAATAAAGAAATAAATAAAGCTTGTCTAGTATCTGACTATATTTTTTGCTGAAAGTAGTAATTTATATTCCAGAAAACATTTTACATATGCTCTTCTAATAAAATATACCACATTAACTCATTTTTTGGGTGTTGAATGATTTGTGAAATAAAAGATTAAATTATTAGATGGCATTATTATTAGATATTCACTGTAAATGATGAAAAGTAATTCTTGTAATATTTTTTTAAAATTGAACTTGTCATTAATATATACTTATATATCAGTAATTGTGATATTAAAGATATTCAACAGCTATTAAATATTTTTTAATATATTTATGGTAGCGTTTAATATTTAGTTTGTATTTAAGTAATGTATCCAAAATTGTGAACAATATTAAATTTGTGTGTTAAATTACCAAAAAAGCAAATTTTACAATCAATAGATATAAAAAAAACAACACAATTTGAAAAAAAATTATTGCAAGAATTCAAGAAAATGATGAAATTCTAGGTTGGCAAATTTGCTCTGTTTTCATCAGTATTCCTGGTGAGACATTGCCAAGCTATATAATTAAGCTTAAATGCAACATAAAGTTAAACTCTAAAATGATTCTGAAAGGGAATTATATGCTGTATTAAACTAATTGAGTAGTTTTTATTTAAGTTTGAATGAATTTAAAGACAAGACACTTTTCTAGTCTATCAAAAAGTCATATTCTATAAGTTGGAAACAAAAACACTGATAAAGACTTGCAAACTATGGATAATGCTGAAAACTGCATGAAAAGCCTATCCTTCAATGCCGTGTTTATGCAATGAAAATTTTGGCACCACTGTATGGTGGATCAGAAGCTTGGCAGTTCAACAAACTATATATTAAAAACTGGCAAAGTTGATAATAAATTAAATTAAAAAAAAATGGAGAATATAACTTCATTCTTAATATTTGTTTTGTTATGGGACATGATATATAATATTGATCATGTTTTTAAAAGTGTAATATATTTAATCTTATTCTTTCTTTGATGTTGCATTACTATTGAGTTTTTAACTTTGTGTATCAACAGGGAGGAAAAATACCTGTGAGATGGACAGCTCCAGAAGCTATTGCATTTCGTAAATTTACATCGGCATCTGATGTATGGAGTTTTGGAATAGTCTGTTGGGAAGTCATGTCCTATGGAGAAAGGCCATATTGGAATTGGAGCAATCAAGATGTGATCAAATCTATTGAAAAAGGCTATAGGTAATATAACCTTTTGTTGTATCTTTCATTTGAAGTTGTCATTGCAGCATATCATAGGTATAATTATGTTGTCTGATTGCGTAAAAAATACGAATAAAAAAGTGTAGGAAAATCACAAAAAACTGCTGCTCCATTACAAATAGAAATAATCGCATTCCTTTTTTCTAAATAGATGTTCATTGCTACATACTTTCAGGATCCATAATATATAAATCCTGAAATTTTGCTTTTCTTCAAAAACTGAAAAATTATTGTGGAGTTGTCACCATATGCAACTTGATCATGGACTTGTCCATTTTTACAACATTTTTGCATTCCACATTAATTTTTGAAGAAAGTAGTATGCTCTTAATCAGAATAATGTTAAAATTCTACATTCAATTCCTTAAATTAGGTGCATGTTAATTACAGTTTTTGAAGAAAGAGAAAAGCATCAATTTAGTATTATAGTAGGGAACTAGTCATGCTACAACAGCACCTACTTTCATGCACGATTTGCAACTTATGCAGTTTTTGAAAATTTTGAGAGTTCAATGAAAATGAGACCTGCACCGTTTTTTAAGTGTCCTTTCCACTATCTGATAAAAGAATTAATGAAAAATTACAAGAAAACTACTTGTTTTTTCAAAATTTATACATGATGGTATTTAATAATCTAATTTTTTAGAACAGATTTTATTTAAGAAAAATATCTATATCATCAATATTATACTTTTTTCAACGTTATTTTATTTCACTTTTCAAAAATAGATTTTGTTGACGATGGTGCTAGCATCACTTTTTTCACCATCCTTTGGTCTATCGAGGGGAAAATGTTTGAAGACAAGTTTGAAGCTAGTTTTGAGAAAATAATTCTTTAAAAATTGCCTGCCTATATTTTACTCAAAATTATGGGAAAATTACACATTTTTCAAAGAAAATTATATAACCTTATTTAAAGATCTACTTTTGAAGAACTTTTTTTTTTCTTGTATGAAAAGTCGCCACTTTATACTACAGCATTACAATCAGCTTTCTCTTTACTATGCAAGAACATAGTGCAATGGGAAAATAAAAAATTCAAACATGTTGTGACATTTCCGCACAACATTTTCGTAGTCTTTTTCATTACAAACGAAAATGTGACTAAATAACTTTTTTTTGTAGAAAGGAACATGAAATATTTAAAATGCAATTAGTGAGTGAGACAAGAGTGAATACGCTAAAGAAAGTGGATTAATACAACATAGCTAGGATTCTCCCTATTAATTTCCTCACAATCAGAATTTGGACTATCCATTATGTTGTTGATGGAATTTTCACTGCTACTTCAAAATACTGATGTTTAGGTGGTGTGGATAACTTTCCCAAAAAATGTGGAGATAGTTTTATATCTGATAGTGGATTTAAGGATCACTCCGATATCAATTTTAGTTAGCCCAATGAAACTAAGTGACATACTTTAAACAAAGATTTGAGAATATCAAATTCTGCACAATAATTAGTTATTTTTGAAAAAGTATAACACCACCGTTTACTTTCTCATAAACTGGTATATGCCTAGTATAGGGAAAGGTTTTGTGATGATAGAGGACAATACACTGAATACAATGGCAGAAGTGCCATTTCCATTTAAACTTTTCAAAATTTAAAGATATGTATTTTCTCCCATGCTTTGTTTGATGAAGAGTTTGCCAAGATTTGGCTAAAGTAAGCAATGTTCTTATGAACTAATTCATATTACTAGAACATATAGTTAGAGCCCCTGTTTGAACATTGCAGACTGGAGCTCTGAGAACCTTACTATGCTAATGCTTGCATGTACACATTTCTGATCGTTGCAAATTTTATTACATTAAATTTTTGTTAAATGTTTAAATGATTCCGGTATTTAACATCAAATTATTTCCATACATTCTCATGTCAAAATAATAATTCTTTTGCAGTTTTGAAGACAATTGAGATTTATAGAGAATTTTTCTTTGTTTTCTTACTTTCTTGGGTTCTTTACTTGAAAAGTTATGTTAAAGCAAACAAATTTGAACAGTTTTTAAAAATTATACTTTACTCTTTCAGGTTAGTGTTGAAATGGTAGAGATGATTATATAATTATTGTATTGTATTGTTCCATGTTTATTTAGGTTACCTGCTCCTATGGATTGCCCCGAAGCAATATATCAGCTGATGTTGGACTGCTGGCAAAAGGAACGCACTCACAGACCAACATTTGCGTCTATAGTCAAAACTTTGGACAAACTTATTCGATGCCCAGACACATTGAGGAAAATAGCACAAAATAGGTAAGAAGTTTTTTCTAGAATAAATAAATAAAAAGCTATCAAAGTATAAGGAGATAGGGTTCACATTTTTCTTTTGTAGCCAGTGCAATTATACTATTGTTTACGTTCATGTATGTTTTCCTTTGTAAGGTTGTAATAAATATAGATGTACTTTCTCTTTTTAATTCTCAAAAATAGTATTAGATTTGTATCTCTCCTTACCTTATTGCCTTTTACTTACTCTTGACTTTCTCATAAGATATTTTTATTAAAAAAAAATTTGAAAGAATCTATCTTTTTAGTTAGAGAATATTTTGGATGTGTTGAAAAGTTTGTATGTTTGGACAATAACTCTTTAATACTATTCTGTCTGTCGTATCTTCCTTATTGCAACCATAGATTGGCTCTATGCAGTTCCGTGGAATACCAATCAAGTTGGGGTCCCCTAAAAATATGAACTAAAAGTGTAATATTACCAACTGTTACAAAATTTGAGTTAACCCACTGGCCTAACCCCTACTTTTTTTGTTACATGGCCTGTTCACCTGGGTTAGACAAACTCCATTATTAGTCGAAAACAGTGGCATAACATTCGGGCCTGCAAGGCCCGCAATGTGGGCGATTCATACAGCGTTTACTTTAAAAAAATATTACAATATTCTGAACTGATCTTGTAATATATCTTCTTCTATATCATTTCCTGTGACCTTGAGATTGTATTATAAAATATGAGCAACTGAAGCAAGATAGAAACTTTTTTGTATGTATTGTTTCTTTTAATTTAAAGATATTCTGCCCAAAAATATTTTTCAGATAGAAAGTCTCCATAAGCAATAAAAAATTAAAACCGGGTCACTCTGTGGTGCTATCAGGACGACATGTGGTACAATTCAGTTGATTTTGGAAGTTGGTGCAACGTGCAGCCCCAGGCAATCATACGCTTCAGAGCTTGAGATTTGTGATGGCAAAAAAATTAAATATCCATGGCCTTGACACATGCTTGGGATGTATATCTTTGGTGATTAAGGAAAAGCTAAGGGGATGATCCTAAAAGCACTGTTGGATGCAATTAAATCTCTTATCAATTAGTAAAATAACCCAAAACCACTGATTTGAAGAACATGATATGTCATAGTAAAAAATTACTTTGTGAAAACAAATAAATGAGAAAAGAATATAGAATATAATAAATATAAGACTGACAAGGGAGGAGAACTCTGGAGAGATAAGCCCGAGCTCCCTGCTCCATGGCAGAGGATTGGAAGACCCCCGTATGGGAAGGCTGTGTGAACATACGAGAGATTTCTGGAAACATAATAGACGTAATCTTTGATGATGAACTCCAAGAACGGAGTCTCTCTAAACAGTTACAACAAATATCAGAGGAACTAAGTTTGATTCCTTCATAGGACATCAAGTGTCAACAATTGCAAATGCCACCAATTTTCACCCAGTAACCCTTTCAGGGTCTCCCTAAAATCGCTTCAGTCTCATAGAGGCCTGCAGTTAGAACCTATTACTGGTAATAAAGAAAAGTTTGAATTTAAAAAAAGAACAATAAATTTAGTTTTGAAGAAATTGAATTGTATTTCACTATTCATTATAATTAGGGAGCAGATTTTGTGGACCTAAAGCATCACCAAAAATTATCAAAAAAATTAAAATAATTGATAAATTATAATAATTAAAATGTCCTCAAAGCAAAGAAAATTGACATAAAAAAATTCGATCAAAAACAGTTCAGATGAACAATACAAGCCTTTGGATATGTTATTGATGTAATGAAGGCTTCTTCCTTTCATTCAACAGAACTGAGCTCACAAACTTTTGGTTTAGACTGTTCTTTACCAGTAAATCTCTGTCATTGTATATTGTGAAATCGACTGAACTGACATTACTTTTAATGCAGTAATAAAATGCTAAATATTATAAGTGAAATCCAATTTTAATTTACAGTGTAACGTCACAACGTCAAAGGTTTTACTTTTTATTAGGGTAAGGCTTCAGACATGTCTTCAAGGAAAATTAGAGAAACACTATTCACCTCAGATATTGACAGAGAGAGATAGAAACTATTGCAGGTGTTTCAAAAACTGTCGTTTACAGAATAAAAATAAGAAATGATCAGAAGAAATCCGTGGAAGCAGGACATGTGCGTAAATGTGTCAGGAAAAGGATCACCATTCTTGTTACTGATCGTAGAATCAGGGATATCTGCCTTAAAAATCGTAAAAGGAGTGCTGCCCACCTGGCTACAATGATAAATGTCAAGGGAGTAACAGTTTCTAAAAGGACAGTCCACAGACAGTTAACCAAAGAGAACCTGATTGGTCGTTGCCCTAACAAAAATCCATGCCTCATTTAGGCCATGAAGAAGAAGCGGCTGCAGTGGGCCAGACAACATTGAAATGTGACTGCTGCAGACTCGACAACCCTTTTATATATCTAAAGCAGTAGTGCACTTCATCAATAAGGTTTTTTACAATGTATTGCAGGTATACTTCTCTGATGAATAAACGTTTCTGACTTTAATTAACTTAAGTTCATTTGTCTGTTGTATCCTGGGGAATAGTTCCATCCAGATTACTAGTGGAGAGGATTATACCCAGTTAGTGTCATGATGTGGTCTATGATTTAAACGTAGGGAATATGGGGTGCCTATAGATAGTAGAAGGGACCATGAGACATGAACGATACAAGCGAGTACTATAGAAATTGCTACTGCCAGAGATCGAAGCTTGAAGAATGGTGATTGAACTCTGATGGTTAAGAATACATTTTTATGCACAATTTAGCACTGTGTTACAAAGCTAGGAGTATTACTGCATTCCTGGCAGAAAAAGATTACTATTTTGCCCTGACTGGGGAACTCATCAGTCATGAACCCCACAAAGACGTGTGTGAACTCGCCAAAGGCTGATCACCAAGCAAGGGATCACCACGAAAAGCAAGTTAAATGAACTTGTAAACAAAGAATGGCATCACAACATTGAACTGCAATGAAATGCAAAAGTCTGTGTAGATAGCGTGACACGTAGCATCAAAGGGTGGCGTCATTAAATATGTTAATTTTATCTAAAAATATTTTTAGTTAAATATCTAATTATTTTTATGATTTTAATAATACACTCTTATGAATATAAAGTATCTATGCAACTAAAACTAATAATTTGTTTGAAAACTACAGTTAAAATTCAAAACACAAAAATCTGAATCCTGCCCCTAATAATTTGACCTCCTACTGTATGTTCAAGGGTTATAATACAAGTTATAATAATAGCATTTATCGTCAAGAAATGTCAGTATTAAAAAAAAAATTGTAAGTTATGAATCCTCTGTTGAAATTCCATAACAGGATCTCTCATTGTCCTGTTACATTGTCAATTGATTAAGGTATACCTAAAAATTTTGTTTCCCTTTCCCAATTCACATGTATGTTTCAGTTCCATTGAATGTAATGAATTTAATTGAATATTATCTGTGTTAATTTGCTGTAGAAACACTGCGCATAGAGATGAAACAAATGTGCAGTTTTAAGATGGCAATTCATGTTCAAGGGTTAAAATACAGGTTGTAATAATATTTATCCAAGTTATATCAGGAAAGTGTCTCACTCATCATATCATTCCTGAGAGTGGCTATAATTTAATGTTGCTTCAGTGACATTCTGCACTTATAGTTTTCAGTTTTCCAAACAAATTTCCTTTCTTCTGTTTTTTTCCTCCTTCAATTTAATTTGCACAATTTTACTGAATGAATGAAGTCCACGATTTGTTGAAATGCATATATAATCACATTACACACAATACGAAATGGATAATAAATTTAGGGTCGAACTTGGAAGATTCTTTGGAATTTTAGAAAATTTAGAAAATACTTCTAGTTTTAAAATGAAGGGTAAAAGAAGCCTTAAGGTATCTGAGTATTAAACAGTTGTAAGAGTATTATGAACATTTCATACATCCACACCAATTAGCAAATTTTGTAGCTGAATTTTTATAACTCACAAATGACTGTACCCTCTTGAGAAGCATATATTAATGAAATGCCTGTGGCTTTCCATCATGGATACTCATTTCTTATAGCTACGTTTTGTATATGATTTTTGGACAATAGTTGGAGAAATTCCAACAATTATTTTCATTCATGTATACTTAACAATGTTTTATAAAAATAAAAAATGGTTGTTTTACAAAATGCAATTTTGAACATTCAGATACTGTTTTTGTTCTTTCTAATTTCAAATTACAATATTACACGGTCTTCTATACTCTTGAATAGTAAAATGAAAGAAGCCACAAATAACAATGTTAATTATTAAACAGTTAATTTATATTACTTTGTTTCATTTGACATCATTTTGTATCCCATGAGACAAAATTTGTAAATTAATTTAGGATGAAATTACCGAAATCTGTATCATCAAGATTATCAATGTATTTTAAGTTGTTGTTTTTTTATTGTAAATGTTGACTTTTAGGTCTTCTAATGTTTTGAAAATATTTTTCCAAAATCTTGATATTGATGTGTAGATTTATGTAAAGATTTACAGTGTTATGTACTTGGCATACATTTTCCTGAATTTGTTGCATAAAATACATGTAAAATTCTGAATATTGAAATAATTTTTAAAACATAAGCAGACCTCCATATATTGAACTTTTATGTATCAAAATTCACTATAAACCAAATATTTTTTCTGTCTCTTAAAAATTCCATTTAAAACCTTTTTATGTATTGAAAATAATTTCTGTACATCAAACTTATTTTTTGATCTGACAATTTTTTTCTATGAAATAAAAGTGTGCACTACATACTATAAAATATTATAAAAATGTTATAAAATATTATAAACATATTATAGAAATGTTTCTTAAAAAATTAGTATCATTTACTTTGGAATGAGAGTATTCCAACTGCAGAAAATATAACTTCTGAACATTTGTATAATTGAATAAATGTTTGTAGACTCTCCCTCTCCCCTCTCTACGTCCAGTTCCAGCTTTCTCATGACAGTAAGACTCCTTCTATCCCTCCCTGTGGGAACTTGTCAGTCAACTTGGACAGTCTCAATCCCCTTCTCTAATGGCCCTGCCCTAAGATGTTAGTTTGTCATTTCAGCTTAGGTTCAGTTTGTTCTTACACACTTAAGATGAGTGTTCGAAACGTTGAAACAAAAATCCTGTCATGTTACAGAAAAAGGAATACTAATTTCATGTTCCTATTCATAAATATATGGTACAAATTATTAAATCATTTGTTAATTATTAAAGATTTGAATGTTCCATTTTACCCAATTTTTCCAAAATTGTTTTAATACCATTGCTAAAATTTCATAATAACTTGATATTTCTGTATATCGAAGTATGTGTTGAATATTATTGAAAGAACCATCACATTTGATATATGGAGGTCAGACTGTATTTCGAAAGAAAGATGAAGGCAACAATTTTCAATATGTCTGAACAATTGATTCATCCATTTTTTTATTTGTTTGTATCAAACAACTCTAAAAAACTTCATCCGGCATTTATTCAACATTTTTAAACAAGATAAAAGGGGTAATTTATTTCAATATTTCATTATATCCGCTGCACATATTGTTTAAAGCTTTTAGAGCCTCCACAATATGATTTAGAATTTTCAAGTAAATTTAACTTTTGTTTTTCTAACAGAATAAATATTCAATATCTTAAATCCAAATGCTGAACGTTTATCTGATTTCTAAAATATTTATTATCTGTAAAATCTTTCCAAAGTTCATTCATTTACTGTGCATGCAAAAGCCCTTTTGTATTGTGTTCTGGTGACCACAGGCGCCAGCCACCCTATAACCCTTATTATGTTCCTGAAGTCTTTCATCAGCCTCAGAGGGTACCGTTTCAACTTTATTAAACATTGAAAACTTTTTCCACCAGGTAGGGCAGTTGTTTGGTTTGTTTGGCTACTCATTTTGCATTGTCACTTCACTTCCCTTCAGTTTAGGCTGAGAATCTGCTTGAATGTGCTCACAGGTGTTCCCACCACAGATCAGTACAAAATGTGTCATTCACTAAAATATGCACAGGCAATAATATTAAGAGAAACTTGCATGCCTATTTAATGGCCATTATGAGTGTGTTGTATTAACTTAGTTTTAGGTGATGCAAAATTTGAGATCTTAGTATATTTAGTGTGGCACACACTATATAGGCATATCATAAAATTAGTATATTTTTAACAACTCTTAAATTGTTTCTAAACCACTGTTCTTTATGTGTCAAAAACATTCTTAAAGGGCTTTAGGGCATTCTTCATATTTTAACAGAGTAACATTGTTTTTAGTTGTTTGTTTTGTGAGTGAAAGGTCTCTTTTTAAAATATTATTTGTAACATGTTAATTCTGTGTTCTTACATGCATGGTGGTGCTATAGTGTAGGGCCAAGAAATTGTTGATTGTGAAATGGTCAATATGTATATCACAGACTTTCAAAATGAAAAATGTAATTATGATTTAAGAAAAATATTTTTTAGGATTATAGTTATAGATATTTTATTATTTAATAAGAATTAATCATGTATATTCCATCCTAGATATCTTTACCTATACTTGCACATACAAGCACATTTTGATAATGTAAATTCATGTAGTTGCATCATTCCCGCTCTTTGAAGTTGTCTGTTTAAAAAAACTGTTAAGGATGCATGACTGACACATTGTGCACCCATGCTATGCCAACAAAATATTTTTAAATGTCAATGTAATTTCATCATCATAATTCACATATTTGTATAAAAGTGAACTGAAATTACATGTAAATTAGTAATGGAAAATATTTTGTTTTTGACCACCAACCTGCATCTCATTTTCTAGTCTCCTAATTATGCACTAATTTTCAGATCGCTCCAGAGATTATTTTACTTTACCAAGGACTAAATGAAGAAATATTTAATTATGGCAAAATTTCAATAAAAATAATTTCAACTAAATGTATTTTAGCCAATAATACAATTAATTCTGAACAAATATTGTTTGAATTTGAAATACAAATTTCAAGATTTTTGATACTACAATTAGTTTTTCTGTCTTATTTGATTATTAAATAATAATGAAAATTTAAAATATTTATTTTCTCTTATTTATCCTTGTTCTCAATTGTAGGTACTTAATGATTTGAAATAACAACAAAAAATCCCAACTTTCTTTACAGGATCAAATATTACCGTCTCCTATCTCTCCCATCTCTCATCTTGCTTCTCTGTTCTTTTACGTCTCACTTTCCTTCTTTCCTTTACTGTCCCCCTCCTTTTTTTCTTTTCTTTACTTGCCTGTCCCTTCCTTCTTGAATCTATTTCTGTTGGCTTAATCATGGATAACATACATTAACTGATGCATGTTTTAAACAAACCATTCTGTCCCTGTACAGACTTCATACTGAGAAACTACAATTAATGGCAGTTGATTTGATTCATTAGAAGTAAAGATTGAACACATGATGTTATTTTAAACCTTGTATTTAATTAAATAATGAAGTAATGTTTCATAAGTTTGTGGATACCCTTTTTTTAATTTGCAGAATATTGGCGAAAGTTTGGAATCATGTGATTTACTTTTCTTTAGAATTGATGTGGGGAATTGAAAGAAAAAAATCTGTGAAATTTATGATTTTACTTTGAATCAGTTACAAATATCAGAGTTGTTAAGTACATAAAAATAGGATTATTTACATTTTATTTAACATTAAATAAGATTAATTATGTAAAATATTTTACTCTCTTAATTTGATGTGCTTGATTGTGCATAAATGTGCATGTATTTTTTTAAACTTGTTGGTAGAGGAAAATAGTGATCATAAACATTTCGTGATATGTATCACAATCAACAATATCTTGATTATAGTTTTGCTTGATATTACATCCTTTATTCATTTCATTTTTTTTTGTTTTTAGGACAGCAAATCCTCTTGCTCCTGATGCTCCTGACATGACACAATTTACTTCAGTTGAGGAGTGGCTAAATTCCATAAAGATGGCTCGGTATTTGGAAAACTTTGAGCGAGCTGGAATTACAAGCATGGATGCTGTAGTGCGAGTGACAGTGAAGGAACTAACTGCTTTAGGTATTACATTGGTGGGACATCAAAAGAAGATCATGAATAGTGTGCAAGCTATGAGAGCTCAAATATCTGCCAATTTATCTGAAGGTTTCCTGGTTTAACCAAAATTTGGCTCTAATGTCATAGCAAATACACATGAGCACATAATTATTAAGTATTAATAATGACTTTAACAAAAGAGTGATTCAGTGTGAATTTGTGGCCATAGTTATGTGAATGAGAAAATGAATATTACATTATTCAGAACAATTTGGCAACGTGAAGCCATTTTGAAATATCACGTATGAAGACTTTAAGTTCAGTCATGAATACGTTGCAATAATTGAAGAAGTGCGTGTGCATCCTAATGAGAGTGTTATAAGTGCAAGATATCCTGCTAAAATTTGCTGTTTGCAAAAGGTTCATTGTTGTGATAAATAGAAAGTAATGAACTGTAAAGAAAAAGAAATAATTATCTTTTAATAATTGTGGTGTTGGAAAGGACAGAGTATGTGTGATTTCTCATTTTGAAGAAATAACACAGAACAGTGCATGTATTACTAAATTGACTTTATCCAATGGACATAATTAGTGAAATACTTTAAGTTTCATTGTCCATGAAACTCATCTTGGTTTTACAAGAAATGTTTGTAGTACTGTATGTGTCATAGATTTCCTTTTGTGATTTGTGTAAGTTAGTACCTTAATTTCTTTTCTATCTTCAACTTGTCTCATTCTGTTGTTACTTTTATTCTTGTTGTGTAATTCTTTTGTGATATTTCATAGTTCTATTTCGCGAGAATCTTTCTTTGATGTACATGTGAAGTACCCGTTTGCTGTGTCTCTTTCTACTGTATTTTGTAATTTGTGACTATGATTTTATTATTTATCAAGTCATTTAGTAGTAAAAAAATCAACCAAATAACGTTTCTCCTAAGTATGAATATACATTTGTATTTCCTCATTAGAAGAGATATAATACGTCCAACATTATCATCCAGTATACTATTGATGAAAACAATCAGAATGGAAGCCTACAGTTTACTTAATTTAATTTTTTATGTGCTGTCAATCCTGCTACTTCCTTACTGTATATACTCCTGTGTAAATAAATTTCTTTGCATAAGCTTTTGTGAGTCAGGGAGTGTAAGAATAATTGTTTTTTTGTTTATGTGACTGGAAGTATCTACCAGTATAAACATTCTTACTGCTGCACATAACGATCATGTTCATTGTAGCCCTGTAAGACTTAAGAGTGTTGTATTATTTCTTATTAATACAACTTGTGCTATGGGCTGTGTGATTTTCTATAATGATACATGAGTACTAAAGGCTTGATTGTGTGAAAAGGATATATAGAGAATGTGAGTAATAATCACATAAGCACTTGGCAGAAGACAGCATCTTTGAATATACATTGTATCATACAAGTGACATTTGTGGTAAGAGAGGGCTTGTCGTATACAAGAGTATGTACAGTATTTGTTTGACCTGCGAGTCAATAATATTTAAGGCAGTTTTCTCCTATCTGAGTGTTGTGAATAAAAACTTTCACTTTTCCAATGTTAAATTTATTTTGTTTTAAGTTGTTTTTAAATATATATATATTTATGTATGTGTGCACACATACATATGCAAAATGGCAATACATGAAAATTGTATGTTTCTGCGATAGCAAAATGTTCCTTTTTATTAAAGAGCTCTCTTGACTTTGAAACACAGAAAATATATTCCTACGTACTTGTCAAACGGCCTTAATTCAGTCCTCCTCTTTCTTGCATGCATGACTAAAGTACAGGTAAGTGCTAACTTTCTAAAACTACTTTTCTGATTATGGACACCATTGGGTGTCCATTATCTGAAAAGTAGTGGGGACTGTCCAGAAAGAAGGGCCAACTGTTATTTTCAGTTATCAGTTTTCCCCTTTTTGGTATCTGACCATGGTTTTTTATTTAATTTTAGTAGGTGATGTTCATATAAATCATACATATTAGTTTTGGTTAACCTTGACAATTTTCTCCTCTATGTATTTCAGGAGTCAGAAATTGCATGCTCCCACTTAGCTATTTTTAACTCCAACATTCATTTAACTATTAAAGCAATGATAGTAATCAAGGGACATGTACCAATAGATGTTTTCATATATATCAACACTGTGTATTTACTCAGGGAGAAATATGAATATCCTCTATATTCAAGTGTGTCTTCTCAAGGATTATACATTTAATTTGTTCAATTCATTTACAGTGATATCAGGTATTAAATTGGAACTCATAAAATTTCTTTTTGTTTTGAATTAGTTCATTCAGCTAATGTTGGCATTATCCCCAGGGTGCTGACTAAAGTAAGAGATTGCCTAAGAGTGAGGCATCTTGTGTGTTTGTAAGAAGTACAGTCAAGATGAAAAGAGAGTGGACATTTTAAATATTCTTTTTTCCCCCTTAATATATGGAAACAGTGGTGGGAATTTACATGAATAAGATACAAATCGTTACAAAAAAATGTAATCCTTTATTTTCACAAAGCTCAACAAATACCTCAGTACTAATGAAAGTCAAAACACTGCTTCCAAATGGGGCACAAAAAGTCTTTGGATATCTAGAAGTAAAAGATGTAACAAAGTGCCTTATCTTAAAGAAAATTGGGAAGGTAGTGGCTTATGTCATCAATATTTCTCCACTGTCCCACTTTGGAGCAAGAAGGCCCCATTGGTTAATTCAGAAAATTCCTAAAATCCAGAGTATTACACATCATTGTAAAGGTACATTAATACTGAGAGAAATAGTCTTAACTGATTTCGATTAAGAGGCATTTTAAGAAAAATGTGATAATAAAAATCAAATGATAATAGTTATATTATGTTTTTATGAGTAGGCAATGAAGAACACGAGATCTGTACGAATTCTGTTCCATTGACGAACATTCTGCTCAATGCATGTATGGGTAGATTGTTTACTAAAGATAAAATAGAATTATTTAAAGGCTACGTGCTGTAGGAATCATGGGTCATGGTTTATAATGCTAATGATATAAACCCTATAATTTATTTCTCAAAACTTATTTCACTTAAATGCATGATGTCCAATAAAAAAATTAAACATTTCATGGAAAAGCAATACTTGTATAACACAAGGAATTAAAACATTATGCAAAGACCCTATTTTCAATATCGTCGTTGTAGGTAGACACCAAAAAAATATTTAAACTTTTGAGATTTTCGAAAATTCAGAGAGATTTCAAGGAAAACGAGTCCTACGCCATTTTAATAATTCCCGTGCGGCAGGGTCGTCCCGTCAGAGAGTATATTACGTCCCGTCCCGTGCGGCAGGGTCGCATAACCCTTGCGAGGGCTCCGGAACGTCTTCGTGTGAGGACCTTCATAGCAGCATAATAATACTCCGATAGCTGATATCTGAGGAGACAACCCCGAGAAATGGGGCACATAAAAAAGAATGTTCCTATAAGTAAAACTGCCTGCAATAAGAATTACAGGCTACGAGAATATCGAGTCGTCGTTTTCGAGCACGTTCTCGATTAGGGTTGCCACCTTGCCAATTTCAGAAAACCGGTGACCGCTGCGACCGGGTGGGGGGTAATTTCTGAAATTTTATACTAAATTATCTATTATGTAGTGTTTTAACATACCTTTCTATTAATTTGTTTTTATATACGAATTACACAACTTTTCGGAATTTATTAAAATGTTGTTTCGTTCAATAAATATAGTCTTAACTTCAGTTATTTCTAAACAAAGAATTATCATTAATTATTTTTAGGTTATAGAGATATGTAAAACAAATTTGTATGTAAAACCTACCTGTATAATTATTCGTTTTTAACATTTATTTCAAATTGTTATTGTGTATCTAAATATTCAGCCTTTGATACGAAATGTTGCATATGTGTGTGTGTGTGTGTGTGTGTGTGCGTGCGTGCGTGCGCGCGCGCGCGCGCGCGTGTGTGTGTGTGTTTTCAATCAATCAAAACCGTTTTCTTAGTTTTCTCACAAGTAATACATGACGTGCAGTTCCCACGAATCACAAATGTACCTTTATCTTAATGTTTCCAAGAAATAATTTTCTAAGAAAAAAACGAACGAAAATTCGTTCTTGTTCAAAATGAACATTTCGAATAGCATTCCCGGGGGATTATTCTTGAAACTGTTGCGCGATGCGATTCTCGCATAATCGCTAGATGCTGTCTCTGTCTGATATGCGTAGAAAGAAAGAGACAGCGGATGTCGATAACACGAGAATCGCAAGATCAATTTTCATGTTCTGCTCTTTATCTATCTAATGAAGAAGGAAAGGGCATATTTCTGATGAAATAGAAAAAGCTTTAAATTTTAAGTTGAAAAATCTATTTATTCTGTAAAAAATTTGAAAATGTATTGAAATTAGAAAAAAAAAAAAACGGAGATAATTTTTCAAAACCCGGAGACCGGAGATGAAGCTCAAAAACCGGAGAGGTGGCAACCCTATTCTCGATGCAAGGGTTTTTTATTGGCTTTAGTCTCGTGTAGGTTTCTCGCCCACGAGAATGAGAGAATGTGCGACATTTGATCACCTTTTTCGCTACTTTATGATTTACTGTCTTGGTCCTTTTTGGGGAGAACTTTCCTTTTCTGAGGGAAATGTCCGGGGGCCCGTCCGCCCCGTGCTTAATCTTGGCTGCTGTACGCTATCTGAGAAAAAAAAAAGTTTAATCAAAAAGTTTGGGCCATTTTGGGAAGATTTTGAAAACGTTGAGGCTGCATGTATAGCACCCCTGAATATCAAAATATCTATTTCAAACCCGCAATGCCTTGCGTTCGTTCAGATCAATTGAGGGATATCATTTTAGACGATTTTATCCTGGATAGGAGAAATGCGCTGTGTGTCTCTCAAGCACACAGCGCATGCGTTCAAGTTTCCGAACACTAGAGCCTTCCATCTATGACGTGTAAGTTCACAATTAAGTGGAAAGTTCAGGGCGCAAAATATTGAAAAAGTGGTACTTGTGAGTTGGAAATTTATCAATAAGCACATTATAAAGTAATGAGACAGTTTTTTTTTCATTAAATATTTGGGTAGGCTCCACCTTGCAGCCTAATAGGTGGTTTTGCCATAGCAGGTCAGGTTTGAGTCTAACCTCTTCGGCAACGCCAAAAGTGGCTTCCGTAAACACTCATAGTGTCTCTGGTCCGACCTTAGGAGCATCTTCCTCTATGAATTTCTTGATCTTATCATGACTCTGTTGTTGATGGCTTAGGGAAAGTGCATTGACCTAGGACGTACGGAAATACAAAGAAATTAAGCGAAATAGCGATAAGGGGAGTCAGATGCCGCACGCTCCCTCTCGTCGTACACGAGACTGGCCCAACGAAAATTTCTTGCATCGGAAAAGCACACGAAAAAGAAGAGAAGATATCCTCTTAGCCAGTAACCCTTGCTGCACACAGTTATTCTAATAGAAACTGTCCTTCATACGAGCGTTATTGTTGGGAGTCTGTGTTTCTAGATATCAGCAATCGGATAGTTTTATCCGCAAATTATAGTGATATCAGCAATCGGATAGGTTTTCGTTGGTTTTCGCTGAACTCGTTAACATGACCTTCGAACGAGTCACTTTTTACCAGGTTTTTAGTCTAGGTGCGAAGCTTGATGACTGCGTTGTAAATTCATCAAATTTCTTGGAACAGCTGACGTTCTTACTAACTTTCTTTGAATGGCTACGAGATAGGGAATCCCATCGCGAAGTCGCTGTCTCAACATTGTATTGGCCCTCCTTCCACATCTCATTTCCCTTCCTGGGTTAGCGAGTTTGACTCATTATAACTGGCGAGATTTGACAGAAACTGGGTGCTAACGTGATCATCCGATGGCCCATTATTGAGAAGTTGACTACTAATACCACTCCCCCTTCTCTCAGTGCGCCAGACTCTCCGTAGGGGGGATCGCTGCTGCGTAGGCTGTCGTGATCTCTGGTGGAGAGATGTAGACGACCACCCGGACCCCGAATTTCACGGCGGCACTCACGCTGTTAGCTTCAAAAGAGAGGCAGTGAGTAGGCGATGCTAAGCGCCGTGTTGCCGGGCCTGGCCGGCAACCCACCAGTTGGACCTCTGGCGCGACCTTTGGGCAGGATTGAGCGATGGACGTTCCTCGGAATGCTCCAGATCCCACATGTAGAAGTCCGACGGGGGAGAGATACCCCCTGTCAGGTTGCTTAGGTTCTGGCGGTACTCTCGTCAAAAGCCTGAAGGTGAAGGGAAGGGGCTCCGAGCCGCCCAAACCTTGCCAGATGACATTAAACGATTAAATTCAATGCAAAAGTTTAAGTCACATGTAAAATCTTTTTTGCTGCACAACTCTTTCTATACAATTAGATACTATACCAAGCTTCTAAAAGGAAAGTAACATTAATTTTAGCAATGACGTTTCCGTCCGGATGGCCGAGATCGTTAAGGCAGTAGTGTCCTAGCGATCTCGAACTGTAGGATCACGGGTTCGAGTCCCGCCTCGGGCATGATTGTATTTGTGTTCCTCCTTTCGCTCCCTATCATCACCATATCATGTCATGTTCATAGTTACCATACCATTAACTCCAATAGTGGTCGCTAATGACCTAGATGTTGATACGACCTTACATAAAGAGAAGACATTAAACGTATTATTTACCATTTGGATTGTATAATTCTAAAGAACTTGTAACAAATATTGTACTTCAGCTTCTGGGTGTGGCCTCCATCTCGATCAGTTTTTGTCTAGTGTCCCTCATCCTAGAGCAAATGCTGAGATGGCCCCTTGTTTTGCTTCTG